AAGGGATGCAGTGAGCGAGCAGAAAGCTCTGCAGCAGGCAGCTACCAGCCCAAGAGTAGCCTTTAAGACGCCTCTCGGACTCTGAGGCGCAGCTGATGCGCTCGCCTGTCTCCCGTCGCCGCTGCCTGAACGGGAAGGGTGCAGGGTTGGGAAGGGAGTGGTGTACAAGATGATAAAGTGACCCTGCAACATCCTATGCAGAGGGACAGCTGAGGCGCTTCGTGCATTTACTATCGCTGTGCTCCTCTCGTGTGTAAAGCTCTAGACTCCTCTGTGCCCTCTGCTTTCTCTCCCTGCGGTTCTGTGGGGCTTCTCTCGAGGAATTCCGGGGGGACCGGAGTCCTCGCTGCCTGCCTGCGCCTTGTTTTGAACGGCCACACCAACCTCCAAACCCCTATGTTTTTGTTTTAAACAGCAGCGCCGGGTAGGAGGAGAGGAAGACAAACATACAGCCGATTCCAGACTCTAGAGCTGGAAAAGGAGTTCCTATTTAACCCCTATCTGACCAGGAAGAGAAGGATCGAGGTGTCCCACGCACTAGGACTCACCGAGAGGCAGGTAAAGATCTGGTTTCAGAACAGGAGGATGAAATGGAAAAAAGAGAACAACAAGGACAAATTCCCCGCTTCCAGACAGGAGGGAAAGGAAGGGGAGGCCAAAAAGGAAGCACATGATCTGGAAGAAGACAGAGCTGAAGGCCAGACGAATTAATTTTTTCCCCAAATGTCTTTGTGCAAGTCAATCAAATGACCAGGGCTAAAGCCCGACATCTCGGCTCATCCACCCCTCTACGTGATCTGGTCGTGGGACGAGTAACCCCATGTCCCTTCGGTTGACGTTTCCCTGCTTCGGGTGCTTCACTTGTTTGTGCTTTTATTTTGTTTATAAGCGTATCCAAAACGATCTCTAGATCTAACATTTCATCATTATTTTTTTTCAAATTTGATACAGAGTTTGTAGCAATAAATTTCTAATTATATATAAATATATATATATATATTTGCAACCTTAAAAGGCGATGATTGTGGGAAACGACATATACTTCCTAATAATAAAGATCAATAAGTAAGACATTTAACAACGCTTTATTAATCAAGACAAGTGCACTTGTACTATTTTAATTCTTGTTCTTATCTTCTGTGGAATAAATTAAATAAATTTAACAATCTTGAAGAAAATATCATAGGAATATATTTAACCTTCTTCTATAATATTTGATTAAAATAAACAGAATTTATTCAATTATAAAATGTATCGGCCTCCCTATATCCCCTTTGTAACCCACTCCTGAAGAAAGCTTCGGTTTGCAGTGGTCCGAGCTAGCTCACCCCCGCTGGTCCGACAGCGTCTCTCCTCGGATGCTGGCTGTTTCTGTGGGGTCTGTCAATGGCACGTTGTGTACAAAACCCGCTTTTTGCTCCCTGCCACGAGCCCTGCGGGCCGTGGTCCGAGCAGCAGCGGCCAGCGGGGACCGCGGCTCCACCTGCGAGCGGAGCGCAGGCTGCGGGGAGCCCCCGAT